ATCTCAATACATAAGGCAACTACTAACAGCTATAAAAGAGGAAATCGACAGTAACACAATAATAGTGGGGGACTTTAACACCTCACTTACACCAATGGACAGATCATCCAAAATGAAAATAAATATGGAAAAGAAGCTTTAAATGACACAATAGACCAGATAGATTTAATTGATATTTATAGGACATTCCATCCAAAAACAGCAGATTACACTTTCTTCTCAAGTGCACACGGAACATTCTCCAGGATAGATCACATCTTGGGTCACAAATCAAGCCTCAGTAAATTTAAGAAAATTGAAATCATATCAAGCCATCTTTTCTCACCACTATGCTATGAGATTAGAAATCAATTACAGGGAAAAAAACGTAAAAAACACAAACACATGGAGGCTAAACAATACGTTACTAAACAACCAAGAGATCACTGAAGAAATCAAAGAGGAAATCGAAAAATACCTAGAGACAAATGACAATGAAAACACGACGATCCAAAACCTATGGGATGCAGCATAAGCAGTTCTAAGAGGGAAGTTTATAGCTATACAAGCCTACTTCAAGAAACAAGAAAAATCTCAAATAAACAATCTAAAGTTACACCTAAAGGAACTAGAGAAAGAAGAACAAACAAAACCCAAAGTTAGCAGAAGGAAAGAAATCATAAAGATCAGAGCAGAAATAAATGAAATAGAAACAAAGAAAACAATAGCAAAGATCAATAAAACTAAAACTGGTTCTTTGAGAAGATAAACAAACTTGATAAACCATTAGCCAGACTCATCAAGAAAAAGAGGGAGAGGACTCAAATCATTAAAATTAGAAATGAAAAAGAAGTTACAACAGACACCACAGAAATACAAAGCATCCTAAGAGACTACTACAAGCAACTCTATGCCAATAACACAGACAACCTGGAAGAAATGGACAAATTCTTAGAAAGGTATAACCTTCCAAGACTGAACCAGGAAGAAATAGAAAATATGAACAGACCAATCACAAGTAATGAAATCGAAACTGTGATTAAAATTCTTCCAACACACAAAAGTCCAGGACCAGATGGCTTCACAGGTGAATTCTATCAAACATTTAGAGAAGAGCTAACACCCATCCTTCTCAACTCCTCCAAAAAATTGCCGAGTAAGGAACACTCCCAAACTCATGCTATGAGGCCACCATCACCCTGATACCAAAACCAGACAAAAATACTACAAAAAAAAAAAGAAAATTACAGACCAATATCACTGATGAATATAGATGCAAAAATCCTCAACAAAATACTAGCAAACAGAATCCAACAACACATTGAAAGGATCATACACCATGATCAAGTGGGATTTATCCCAGGGATGCAAGGATTCTTCAATATATGCAAATCAATCAATGTGATACACCATATTATCAAATTGATGAATAAAAACCATACGATCATCTCAATAGATGCAAAAAGAAAACTGGAGGGGATAAATGACAAAAGTTAGCAAAATTGTTACAGCCTATATAGGGGCTTGTCATTTTACTTTATTTTAAATATGTTGATAATTTCTGTAATGAGTTTTTTTTTTTAACTAATTCATTAATTTTTGGCTGCATTGCTGCTCTCAAGCTTTCTCTAGTTGCGGCACGTGGGGGCGACTCTTTGTTGTGGTGCGCAAGCTTGTCATTGCGGTAGCTTGTCTTGTTGTGGAGCATGGGCTCTAGGCACGCTGGCTTCAGTAGTTGTGGCGCTCAGGCTTAGACGCTCCGCGGCATGCGGGACTTTCCCCAACCAGGGCTTGAACCCGTGTCCCCTGCGTTGGCAGGTGGATTCTTAACCACTGCGCAACCAGGGAAGCCCCATAATGAAAGCTTTTAAATAGGTATATACAAGAACATTGTTTCTCTCCTACATATATTATCTTAAATCAGGTATTGTTCTATGTATTAGAATGATTTCTGTTACAATGAACAGAAACCCCAATCACTCAGGTTTAAACAATAAGAGGAAACATATAGATTTATGTCGCTAAAAAGTCCTGGGCAATTCTAGGTGTCAGGTGATTCTTGATCCTACCGCTCAGTGGTGTCTCTAAAACCTGAGTATTTATCACTCTGCTCTTCCTTCTATGGTGTTAGTTTCATCCTAAGGTTCACATCTCTCCTATTTCAAGAAGACTGTCAACATCTGGGTTACATATGTCATCCAGCAAGTGCTGTATCTGTTCTAGCATTTCCAACAAGACAGGCCACGTTATACTGCAGAAACACACAGCACCAACATCCCAGTGATTTAACACAACAAAAGTTTATTTCTTATTCCTACAGAGTCCATTATAGGTCTGGGAGACTCTCTGGAACAGATACCCCTCCCCAATGTGGGGGGCTCGGCATT